CCCCGCCGCTGCGCCCCGCGCTCCGGACCCCGGGCCCCCGCGGCCGGGACAAAGCCATGAAGCCGGCGCTGCTGGAAGTGATGAGGATGAGCAGGATCTGCCGGATGGTGCTGGCCACTTGCTTGGGCTCCTTCATCCTGGTCATCTTCTATTTCCAAAGTATGTTGCACCCAGGTAGGGGGCGCGATCGCCTGGTTTTGTTGGATGTTTCCTTCTCCGCGCGCGCTCCGCCTGCCTCGGCCTCCTCCAGCCTCGCCTCTCCGCCTCCGCCGGCCGCTCCGGGTCCCGGGACGGGTCAGGGTCGGGGTCTCAGTCGGGGTCGGGGTCGGTTAAGGGGATGGGGATGAGGACTGGGGCGCCCTGCTCGTTCTCCAGCGCCGGGCTGAGGAGGGGACCCGGAGGGGCCGAGGGCTTTTCTCCTTCTCCTTTTTCTTTCTTTTTTCTTTGTGTCCCTCGCCGGGGTGCGAGGTGGCGGGGAGACGTGGAGCTCGCGCTTCGAGGAGCAGCGAACTCCGACCCCGCGGGTGGGAAGTGCCGTCCCCGCGGGCCGCGACGCCGGGCGCCCACGTGTCGCGCGGAGCAGGTGGGGAGCGGTCCCGGCCCTGCCCGCCCGGCTCCGGGCTTTTGCAGAGCACCCCAGGATGCACCCCGCAGCGACCCTGCGGCCGGCTTCCCGGGGGCCGCCCCCCGCCACCCCGACCCCGAGCTGGGACTCGAGCTCCCTGTTCGCGCACCGGCCACCGCAGGATGAGGAAAGTTTGGCCGGTACCGGGCTGACCGGCAGGTCGATCCCCTCTTCCTGGGCTCGGAGCACCCCCCCCTCAACCGCCCGCCCGGGCCACGTGGGAACAATCCCCGGGCTCCGACCCAGATCCCCGGGTGGCTAGGCAGAGTCCTGCGTCTGAAATAGGGCTGAGGAGAGGGACGAGGGCAGAAGGAAAGTTTGGGATCTGGGAGCGAGGGGCGCCCTGGAGCGCCCTCGCCGCGGGGAGAACCGGCCCAGCAGCAGCCGGGGTCCCTGGGTCGCCCTCCCCCTCCTCGCAGCGGACCTCCCCCGGGCCACGTTGGCAGCGAAATCCATTTCTGACGCCCCCGAGTTCCCTTTCTCGCAGCAATAATTAGCTTTTCTAATTGCAAGGAGGAGGGAGGTGGAAGCGTTTCCTTCCAGAGATATGGGGTCGGCGTTTTGCATCTCGGCGCCCCTTCTCTCCGCGTGTGCCTAACGCCCGCAGACGCAGCCGCGAGCCTTCCAGCCGCGTCTGGAGGGATGGCACGCGGAACGCTCCTCTCCGCATCCAGCAGGCCCGGCTGCGGCTGCCGGATTCCTTGACAGCCGGGCACACAAGGGCCGCTCTGCCCTGCGGGCCCTGGAGCCCTGCAGGCGGCCACGCCGCGGCTTCGGTCCCGATGACCACATGGAACCTCGCGGCGTCCCAGCCAGCCCTATAAAAGATGGCTTTTTGTTCGCAGCTGGGTATTTTTAGTTCCATGTCAGCAAACTGGAGCGGTGTTGTTTCCTCACCCAAACCTGTGGTTGTGGAACTTCTAAGGGGATTTAAAAATGGACCTGGCTTGCCTCTCCGCAGCCGGGCGGTGGTTGCAGCAGCCAGGACAGACAGGCACGTCAGGGAGCCAGGTCCCCAGGGGGGCCGAAGACCAGGCCAGCCTCTGGAAGACAGGTGGTGCACGCATAATGGAGCTCAGGCAGCGGAGACAAAGAGCCCCGGGCGCTGCTGTGGCTCTGGAGATGTGTCCAGACCTATTCAGGTTTGGCTGGGACAGGGCCTGCCAGGTAACTGCAGAAATCCCCAGGACAGGAATGAATGTCCACCTGCAGCAGGAATGCCTTTAGCTTTGCTGTATCTGCGAATGGTCCTGTGAAATTGCCCTTTTGTGGACCCCCGTGGGAGGGTTAGGAGGTAACTTCGTAGCCACACGCACTGCCAGGAAAACTTGCGACTGGTAATTGGCACTTTGCTAGAATTTCCAGCTCTCCTTAGGATATTGCCTCGGGAGTGGCTCTCTGGTTGGTCTTTTCAGTCTCCATTTGGAACCGGTTAGGTCCTCTTTCCTCCCTCCTCCCTTCCCTTTCCTTCTTTCTGTGGTCCTCTTTCCTCCCAAGAAATGGCATTTGTTTAGTATTCACACTTCTAAAGGATGATTTTCTGATGTTTTTTTCCCGCAGGACACAGTAAATCCTACTTCCAAAACATTCTGTTGAATGTGGAATTGCAGCTAGTTCAATGGAAAGGTCTTCCTTATTTGAAATTGCACAGAGTTCCACAGAAACTATGCAGTAGTAGATCATTATTAGATGAGACGTAAAATATGCTTTGAAAGCCACATTAAACATTTTCTTTCTGGCTCGTCTTGTTACATTGTTGACAGCTGATGTTAAATAATTTTTCCTACTGTTAAGAGTTCTCTTTTTCTTTCTTTCCTCTGTACTTGGGATTTGTACACAGGTTCTTTGCCCTGAGTTACATCCGCAACCCTTTTTTTTTATTTTCTGTTTTGAGAAAGGGTTTTGCTAAGTCAGTCCCTCAGCTGCCCAGGCTGGGTTTAAGCTTACCGTCTTCCTGCCTCAGCCTCCTGGGGTGCTGGAAGTAGGGTTTGCGCTGTCGTACCTGAATTTCTTTAAAAGTTATTCACAGCAGTATTGCTGTGAGCCTTGTGGTAAAGAGAGCTGATCCTTTAGCCTGGCCCTGCAATCTGTCCAGGTCAACCTGGGAGAGGCAGAAGGGACTGCTGTTGCTAAAAATTTGGAGTCCTCTGGCCACAGTTATGGACCTCCATCTGGGATGGACTCCAGGCTTCACTGGTGGCTGGCGAGGAAGAGGAGGGAGAGACAAAGGGGGAAGACAGCGGGGAGGGCTGGGCTCTTCCCTGGGATTCTAATCTGGGGCCATTGTCTTTGGGGCTTTCTAACTCGCAGGCTTGGGTAATTTGTGAATTTGAGCAATTGGCTGTGCATTACGCCACTGAGAGTTTAGCAACCGCTGGCCTTGTCAGTTAAGCAGTTTTCTTTAGAAGTCTTTGACCTCTGAGTGGATAGTCTTGAAGAATTTTTTAGGGCAAGGACCGGGCTTTAGGCTCCCCTGGAATGCAGATGCCGTGCACATGCCCGGCGCATAGTATGTGCTCTGTATGACACTCGCTGGCTGAGGGCATGTGGCTGCTAAAGCCTGCAGTAGAGCCGTCTCCAGGTTTCAGGAAGGTGGCTGCCCGCCTTGCCCAGAACTCATGGTCAGTACTCTCGGCTGGTGGCGGGCTCGCTTCCTGCCTTCCTAGACCCTAGGTCCCTTGAGACGCGGACAGACAGTAGCTCTCTCATCATGGCCCGAAGGTGCCCTGGAGGCCTGCCCTCATTCAGCTGTGACCTACAGAAATCTGCCTGCAGGACAAACCTGCAGGCCCCTGCGACTCCTGAGTGAGATCAGTTGCATACCTGTGGCTTCTCTGCGTGTCTGAGTCCCTGTGTAAATGCACCCTGCAAAAATTCATCCCCTGGCATCAAAATGTCTTGCATACCTGCTGCCGGTCGACAGCAGCGGCTGCTTTGATGGAGCTGTGATGCCGGCAGAGCGGAGGCCCCTGGGCTGCATCTGTGCTGAGCGGGAGGAGCGCGCTGAACCTTCCTGTGGCTTTTGTGTGAGATCCTCTGTTTGGAGAAGAGAAATCTCCCAAGGAGAAGCCCTCCCCCGCCTCTTTTGCAGCATGTTTATTTTCACTATCACTGAGCACTCTGAGAGATTGTAGCCTGTGTGCACCTTTCCGGGTCACCCCCTTGAAGCTTCGCTTTAAGCTCAGGGTGAGCATAGTATGTGCTCATTTTAGAAATTTTGAGCTGGGCAGTAGAGAAACAGCCCTCTGTCGTTCTGTCCCTCAAACCACTGGCACTTCTTTCTCTGTATTATACAGCGTGTTTACAGGGTGGGCATCACGGTGTCTGAACTCTGAAATGCTCCCGAATCTGCACAGTTTAGAGCACAGACGCGATACCGCAAGTGGAAAATCCCACACCTGGCCCGGCGTCATGGGTCGTAGTCAGAACGGGTTTGTGGCAGAGCCCTTGTGCGTGCACACCCCAGGGACACCTCCCCAGGACGGCAAAACACAGAGCAAAACAGAAACCCAGTGAAGATTCGTTGCAAATACTGTGCCTCCCCCCCCCTCCCCCCGCAAAAAAAACTGTGCAAAATCACCTTCAGGCTGTGTATAAGGTACATCGGACAGTGGGACTGAATTTCCTTTTAGACTCGGGGTTCATATATATATATATGTAAAAAGTAGTTGATCGCATACACATTCTCTGTCTTGTTCAATGAAATATGTTTTAGGCAAATATGTCATTATGGCAACTAAAGTTTAGAGGCAGAGCATTTAACCACAGCCATGCATGCATTCATTCATTCATTGTCTTTTTGAGACAGGGTCTTGCTCTGTAGTCTAGGCTGACCTTGAACTCACTTGCTAGCCCAGGCTGGCCTCAGAGTCACAGTGATCCTCCTGCCTCAGCCTCCTGAGTGCTGGGGTTACAGAATCACAGCCATTGAAATTTATAGACCTGTGTGTGTCTGCACCCACTCCACCTCCTTGCAGGATGCCAGATCAGTGTCTTTCTTTGTTGCTGTTGTTGCACAAATGTAATGTTACACTGGAGAATCTTTCCGCTTATATGGGGTGGCCCGGAATTACCCTAACACTTAGTGCGTGCTCCTGGATTACCTATATGGAATTTCCCTTGCAAAGGGGTCGGAGGGGCGACCTGCTAGGATCCCCACATCAGCGTTAACTGACTGAAGGGGGCGCTGCTCTAGGTCTGGTTGTGATGCTGCGCCTCCAAGGGCATCCTGATAGCGGCGCCGAGATGAGCAGACTCCTGTGGGCAGTTTCCCTTGGCGTTAGAGCCCCCTGCACTCCGGCGGGAACCCCCTCTTTCCTTGCCTTCTGAGCTAAAGGGGTGATCAGACACCCTAGAAAGGGTGGTTGGGGAATTATGCGCCCAAGGGCGAGGGGTAAGGGAATCCGTGCCCGGCAGAGACCACTGTAGTTCGTCAGATCACTTCGCTTGTGGCTTTATCAGCCCAGCCATTTAAAAACAGGAAATCAAAGGCTCACCCTGCAGGCCCCGCCCCTTCCCTTCCAGAAACCCCCGAGGGACTGAGCCGCCA